TTTGTAACAATATAAATGTCTTTACTGTCCCTTTTGATAAATTCAGTACATCTTGACTGAATAGAATTAATATTTCTCACCAAAAACACAATTTTAAAGGACAATGTTTTTGCATTTTTTTAAAGTTGTATTATAATTTAAATGGGTCCTATTATGCTTTTTCACTTTTTGAGTTTGAGTCAGTGTGTAGTGTGTATGTTTGGGCATAAAAAGATCTTCAAACTTAGAAATCTCAAAGTCCACTCCAAAGGGAGATATTTCGATCCCTTTTCAAGAACTACAACGAACGGCTCGTTTGGACTACAGCGTTTGTTTTCCGGGTTTTGAGATATCACAAAGCGGCCCATTAGAATATAATTAATATAATTCCCGCCTACGGAAATTGGAATGGTTGGGGGGTGGGGAGGGGCGAGGTTGTGGTTAGAACGCTTGGTTGAGTGCATCAGACAAGACGACGCCTGAATAATTATGTATGTAAATATGTATGTTACAATTATGAAAACGTTTTTAATAATAAATTGCTGACAGTACAATACTGGACAATGATGTAATCTGCAGAATTTACACTTCAATTATGAGACTACAGTGTTTCCCATACATTAAGTGCGGGTGTTTTTATATCACTGTATTTCTGAAGGAAACCGACTGTCTTCAGAAAATTGGATGTCATATTCATTTAATCTTGCATGTAATGTCTGATAAAGCAGTGTTTTTTTGAGTGGAGCGCTGCTTTGTGTACAGCCGTTACCGGGGAAACCTTGATCTCTACCACTCACACAGCGCCTCCTGCTGGCAGAGAATGAGTTTGTATATATATGCCGCCTGGGAAACACTGGACTATGGTATAAATAAATTCAACTGTATAACAGTTTCACTGCAATTCATGTTATAATGTTATAATTAAATAATAAAAATAATACATATGCACTTTATCTGTACATAGTAAATGCAGTTATTTTTAAGCAGTTGTTGACATCCTATCTAAAATGTGATTTAGTCAAAAAACAACAATAACGTTACCACTCTTAATATGTCTTGCAATATCCGTGCGTGCAAAGGTTCTGCGCGATCCTCTTGTTCAATATTATCTGGGTCTGAATCCGGCTCAAATTGATATCGCAATATTGACGCCATCCTTAAAGGGGTCATATGATGTTGCTAAAAAGAACATTATTTTGTGTATTTGGTGTAATGAAATGTGTTTATGCGGTTTAAGGTTCAAAAAACACATTACCATATTTTGATGCCTTGTCCCGGCTGGAGCGATGAGACAAAAACATTAAAACCCATTACAAACGAGGCATTTGTTGCATCCAGTGGGGACATAATTATGGATTATAATGACTTATACTGTCTTTTTACGCGTTGCATTGCATCGTGCCGCGTAAACTTAAAACCATGTCTGCATTTGTGATCGGAGAAATTACAAACTACAAACGCTACTCTATACTGCTGTGGCAAATTCTTTAAATATAAAAAACGTACTTACAGTCTGTGAGTCAGAACAGCCGGCATTGTAGTCTACTCTACCAGGATCAGGAAACAGACCTCCATAAAATGCGCTGCACACATCGGAATATTTGGGTTGAAGTGTTCTGGAACAGTGTTGTACGTAAATACAACTTAACAACTGATTTCTAGTCGTGTCCTCTTTTGGAAGGCCAAACAAAGTAGTTTCGGATTTCACAACGAAACACAGCGTCACACACGGCGGGCTAGAGTGAGCAGAGGCAGGCGGCGGTGGGCGGGCTTGCGGCAACCACATGTGGAGACCCCGGGGCTGGACTCCGCTTCGTCCATGGTGAAAGCCGATCCGGCGATTCACAGCACTAAGTTGAAGTATTCCCTCAGCGACCAGCACGGATCAGCTCCAGGCATGATGAAGCGAATATCGTCCTCTTTTGGAAGACCAAACAAAGTAGTTTCGCTTTCACAATGAAACACACAGTGCCTTCACGACATGGCAGCGGCGGGAACAACAATACTACAGCGAGAATAAAAGTTACGTCGCCTTTCTTTGCGTGAACATTTGGGGGGCATTATGCAAATCTTCCCACATCGTGACTTAGACATGTGGGGGCATGTTAGAACGAGTTGTTTTAGGTAGGCGTGGTTGACTAAACTTTTGTAAAGATTATCTCTTTGGATTTGAGACTTCAGTTTTTGCAACTTTACAGACCTTATTTTTGCACCAAGAGCTTGTAACACTACAAAGAAAAAGGAAAATTGAAATCGCATCATATGACCCCTTTAACTAAACTTGCTGCTTTGGCAAGGGGCGGGGCAGTACTGAAACACTGTCTCAGCTGTTTGCCAATCACAACGCTCTGGGATAGCTTACCAATCACATCACATTTCATTTTTTGGAAGGCGGGTGTTCATCAAACCTGGAACTAATCGAGCCATTTGTGCCAGACTGGGGAGAAAGGTATTGTAAATTATGTAAAAAATAATGCGTTTTTCGAACCACCAAGCGTGAGAGCATGTTCTAGTACACCCCCAAAACAAATATAAGACATTGTAAAAGAGCATAATAGGACCCCTTTAACAAACATGAATGTAACCCAGATCATTAATCTCGGTCACTAATATTTAATTGAAATTTTATCTAATTATTATTATAATATTTAAAAAGGAAAGGAAAATATGCAGAACGATCACTCTACAAGTAAAAAGGGAAAAAAAAGTTCCTGAATGATTCTTAATTGGTCAGGTGAAAGGTTAGCTCCGCCCCTTTTGGGTGGTAGCGCACGAGCAGACAGAAAGAGAGCGAACCATAGTTGCCAAGTCCGCGTATTATACGTGACTTTGGGCTTCTTTTTTTGTAAAGTTGCGTGAAAAAATCCCGGGTTGCAGTTTTTTGGGCTTATTTAAAAAAATATGGTTGATTGTTAGGGAAATGTGACAAGCAACTTCGTTTCTTTATTTATGTAATAAATAAATAATAGATTATTAACAAATTAAGACCCAGAATAGTGAGATATTAACTCTTAAAAGCTCACGCTTTGAGAAAGATACGATAAGAAACAGCATTGAAAGAGACGCGACAAGAAGCTGATGAAATAGTCTAATCAGTATTTCTTTTGGAAGAATACTTTATTTATTTTTTCTGATACATTTCTCCTTGGTGAGTACAAAGTTCGTTATAAGAAATGTATTTAATTAAACTAAATGTGAATACTGTTGTTGGAGATTAAAGTTAACAAGGAGTTAGTAATGTAAAAATGTGTTAAATGCTTTATTTTTGCTTCAATACGATCTGTTAGTGTATATAATTGTTCAAGTTGCTGAAGGGTGTTTTATTTGTGAAGATGTGATAATTTTTCAAGTGTCGACCAGATGGCAACAGTTCAAAGAGGGAGTGTGCTGGATGTGAGGGGTCCAGAGTGATTCTGCCAGCCCTTTTGCTCACTCTGGATAAGTACAGTTCTTGGAGAGAAGGGAGGGTTGTACCAATGATTCGCTCAGCAGTCCGGACTACCCTCTGTAGTCTTCTGAGGTCAGATTTGGTAGCTGAGCTGAACCAGACAGTTATAGAAGTGAGACAGTTATAGAAGTGGTTGAATCTGAGACGACAATCTATAGATTGTCATTGAATCTGAACGTCAATGACAAAACGTTGTTTTTTTTCCCTTTAAATTTGATATCATTTTGTTACTTTGGGGTTTTACTATTCAATTTATTTGTTGTTGTAATTGTGTTTTGGTTATTTTTGATCTAATTGCAATTTCAAAAGGGCAGTAATCCACGTGAAAGGATAATCAATCAAAACTATATACTATTTTTCCAGTAACGGGTAATACTATTATACTTTTTGCTTACCTTTTGCTCTAGTGAGTCGACAAGCAATCCCGCGTAGTTACCGCTGTACCAAAGTTGTGGTCACATAGTAACTTAGTAATTATGAACCAAGCGCTACTCAGTGCGTTACATGAATTAACAATGAATTATGGTATATTTTAAAAAATAATAACATCAACAGATTAATAAATTCTGTACAGTCATGATACCTGCATAACCTTATTGTAAAGTGACACGTGCACTTTTGTAATAATGTAAATAAAGACACTGTATTGCTGTTTTGATTAAATAAGTTTATTTTGATCAGTTACATATAGGTGTATATCCCTGTGGGAGCATCACAGTAAACGTCCTAGATACTTTTCTTTATAATCACACTTGCTCTAAAAAATAAAATCACCTTTTAATTTCTGCTTGACATCAGAAATAGGTTCATCTTTACAGAATTCTTGTATGACAAGAAAATGTGCAATCTGAAATACTCAACTCTCACGATTCAGCAATTAAAATGATCTTATAAAACTGCTCGTTAGCAGTAGCGTTTTGTCAATAAAATGAACTTGGCCGTACAAATATTAAGCCAGTCGTTCATCTGATCAAGATCACCGTGAGTGTTGCCTTTCAACAAACAAATAAACAATAGTCATATAATCATTGACAGCACGTAAAATAACTTTGAAAAGCTAGTAGCCAGGCAGTGAATGGGTAACAATCCCTCAAAGCTAGCACTTTACAAAATGCCAGTGTAGAACTATAGTATTAGACAGTAAGAGAAACCCCCTTGATCAGCACATTTTTCACACACCCAGTTGCTTGTGCAAAATAAATCAGGTAAAGTATCGGTTCATTGGTCTAAGAAACATGTTGATACACAATACATGTTCTTTTGTATAAGTGTAAATCATGCTGTGTGTGAATCAGTAAAATAATTGGCTCCTGTGAAAACACAGTTCTCTGAGATGAACAACTGAGAGATTCTTCAAATGGTGACAAGGAGGCATTTTTTAAACAAAAATAAACCAAAAACAGAACTGTACATAATATCTATGACATTATTTTTCCCCTTATTCCATCTTATCAGCAAGGGTAGCAAATAAACAAATCAAAAACGTAATAAATACATTGCATCAAAGCAGTTAACAATATATTAAAATTGCTGCATAATATAGTTTATAGTGTTTATATATAAAACTCATATTTGTAAAAAGAAAGAAAACGACATCTGTAAAAGAATAATAATAATACAAAAGCTTCATTAGGATAAATTGGCAAACACATTGGATTGGACAGAATCACATTCAAAGGCTTTTCACCTGGCATGATAAAATGCTAAAAGGATATGACTGGCAAATAGGGACAGTAATTTCACATGATACGTTAAGTCAGACCTTCAAAACACAGATCGGCTTTTTTCCACATCAATCTATAGGCAAGGTGCTATTTTCAAGATGGAGAAAAAGCCTTCTCTTTGAGACCAGATTTACATTTGAACGGCTTCAGACGCAGACAGATTTGGTAATGCCAGGTTGCAAAAAAGTGACAGTGGTAAGTGTGTGTGCTCTGAGAAAATCTTGCTAAACATGAAGATACAAATTATTGCCACTGTCAAAGCTTTCACGTTTGTTAATGAAATCTTCTTTTAAATTGCATATATTACAAACTATAATCTGAAGCGAAACCACACAGGCCAATAAGAGTGAAAAAGGATATTTTCTGCAGTTTTACCCTCCAACTTTCTCTTCACATCCATGACTATTCAGTGAAAGGCAAAGTGCTTTTCTTAGTGTATGCAACATATTCAAATATCTGTTTTCTGCTCATAAAAAAACCTCCACAAAATTCACAGAATGCACACACAAAACAATCCAGACTTAGCTTAAAATTCCCTTTTTGAAAACGGATGGATTGCAGTGTAGGTAATTAACTTGGCTGCGATACATATCATCCTTTCTGTCTCTTCTTTTCCAGTAAAGGGATATGTAAAACCAAATGAGCAAGGTAAGCCAACATACAAAGACTTTCATTCTTATAGACTGAGCCTGTGAATCTTATCCGCAGTTAAAATGAAGGTTTGCCTGTCTGGGTGGGTAACCCGGCACTGCGGAAGGAGTTCCTCGCTGGAAAACACAAAACAAGTGACGATAACCTTGGCTTTGTTCACTTGTTAACGTTTTTTAGTATTTCTGCTGTCCTCTTGGACATACTACGGGATTCATCCTGGCAGACTGTTCAGTAAAGTTCAGTATGAAAACATTTACATGTTGTTTCTTCATTATAAAAAGATAATATTTACAATCCAGTGTCCCTTTCAGCTATAGTTTATGAAGTCCCTCCAGTTTCATTTGTAAAAACACCCAGTCAGAGAGCAAGAAGAGAAAAGATAATGATCGATTTCAATGGTCTCAGGTGTCATGCATGACTGCATGATTTCACTGGCACTGCATTAAAATGGTAAGTGCTAAGAAAAAGAATGGAAAAATACATTTAATAATAAGCAAAGAAAAGGATCTTTATGAAAGAAAAGTGACCAGGGACCAGACCTGTGCCTCTGCCAGATTTCTTAAGGCAGGGCTCACCGTGTAGTTTGTTTTTGTTGGGTATTTGATGTGATGTGAGTGATTCCTTCAGTTCTGTATTTATAGGATTTTGGCGTATTGGCGAGCCCCTTATTGGCTGTGAGCATCATTGGTACTGGTCCCCATTAGGAATGTGATGCTATGGCACTTGGTGCAGATCGACAGGCAGCGTGACCGGACGGGAGCGTGTGTCCGTGCTGTGTTCAGTAGTATGGCACGGAGCGCTCTAGTGCACCCTCTTCCAAACACCCATTGGAGCCCACGTGGCTCTTTATATACATCATTAATAGCTGCACACCAGCTGCTGATTGGCTGACCTCTTGCCAGTTGAAGGTTTCCTAGGGCAAGCAAGGTGCGACTCGAATTCAGAACGGCCTTCACAGGATGAAACGAAAAAGCAGAGATGATATGATAGCGGTGATCCGAGAGTGTGCGTATAGTGAGTTAGTTGCTAGTTTTATTCCTTCTGTTTTGTCCCCCCCCCCACCCCCTCCATTGCAGCAGCCCCATCTCATTTGGTAACCTGAGGGAATCAAAAAGAAAAAGACAAAGACAGGTCAGTCTCTGGCTGTTTGTGTTGTTGAATAAAACTTGGAGCAATAACATCCTAGTCTCTGGCTTCCCAACAGGATGTTTCATTTTAATTATTATAACTACGTACCCACTGAGCCATCTGTCTGATGCTGCTGGTGAGGTAAACCAACCCCCATTTTTACACACACACACTGCAGCTAGAGCTTCTGTACGCTTCCCACAGCTGACATCACAAGTTTGTCAAACTTGACAATCATTTTATTCAGTTTCATTTTAATGTAGTACAGATAGGAAATGCAGAGTACAGAAGTACTGAATGATGATATTTGGCTTATGCAACGTAACTGCAAATGTTAAATACTAGAGTATTATGCTTAGATAATCACATCAATGACGTTTACGGAGCATCCAGGGTCTTGTTTGGGATTTGTCTATAATTATGCCACAAATAATCTGGCCTAGAAGCTCTTTTACTATTAAACAAACCATTGTTTTCTTCATTGTGTGATAGCACACACTCATACACTGTCAAAGTTCAGTAATTATGTACTAATGCTGGATTTGGTCTTTTAAACCAGGGTTTTTCAAGTTCATGTTTTGACAAAAAAAAAAACATGTATTTAAGGTATTTTACAAAATGATGTCATTTACTATTTACAAATGGGGTTTATACATTGAAATGTAAAACTTTTTGTATTTCAGGGAAAATGTGGTATTTGGTCTCACAAGGATTAGGTCTTTTTTGATTTAAACCAAAATCTAACATGGCAAACCCTTGTTTATATGTTTTCAACATTGAAAATAACTAGAAATTTCTTAATATCCAAATCAGCATATTATTTCTGGAGGAACATGTGACACTTACGAGTGGAGTAATAATTGCTAATCATATAATCATATAATTAAATTAAATTACATTTTACAATATATTAAAATAGAAAATAGTTAAATTGCAATAATATTTCACAATATTACAGTTTTACTAGATTTTTGATCAAATATTTGTACCCTTGATGAGCATAAGAGTCTCAAATAAATAATCAATCAATCTTACCAACCCCTTTTTTTTTTTACGGTAGCATACATAACTCTGCAGCTCATATTGAGCAGAATATGCATTTAGGAAATCCAATCATGTTTAACTGCCCAAAGGGTGAATACCTGAAGGACATATCTGGTTGTGGTATCATTTCATTAGAAGATGTTCTCTAAAAGGAAAGACAAGCTTCTTATGGAGAAGACTCTCCATTTTGTCATCATGCCATTCTTTGTCCATTAGATTTAAGCGCTCACTATGTATCTCTTTAGTGACTAGCACGTCCTCCATCTGCAAGGGCAGTGGTCTATTTCTCCATTGCTCTCCCTTTTCATCTCTCATTTATTCTCTCTAATATCTTCTCATTGCTTTGGTTGCAAGCCCTTCCTGTCTGAAATCTTTGGGACTAATCAAGGCTAATGTCACAATAGTGATTTTTATCGGACTCCCACTCCCACTGTCACATCACTGGCCTCCTCATAATTTATTTTCTAATATTGGGTGTGTGGGTATCCGTCTGTTATGTAACTCTGCGGTTTCCTCTCCACTTTGTGCTTTGACCCCTATCGATTAGAGAACTTTTCCCATTTATATAAGTGACTGAGGCAATATGTCTTGCCATCACATGCTTATTTATGCTAATTTATATGCCTCTGACAGGCTAACCCTCAAGGCCACGGTTCACGCTGCATCCAACCGGAGATATTTAATTGATTTCTAGTTCAACTGTAGTCAGTTTAGGCTGTTAACCTAATAAAGAGCGGTAGTTTTGCTAATTAGAAAGTGGCGGGTGCTGTAGAGGAGTAGGACAGCTAACTTGGGACAGCCTGTCTGCAGAACAAAAATACATGACCACATTTAACAGTTACAATCTGCCCTCTCAGTCCGAATATTTAGGGGACTAGTTATTTTTAGTGTACTGCTCCCACACACATTGTCCTCCACCTAAAAACTGGCAACCAGGGAAGCCTATTTCCTGATGTTGTTAGATGTTTTCTTTCTCTGTCTTTTGATGCTTTGCCGTTCTTTTGGGGCATACAAAGTCATGGTAATTATACAAACAGGCTCATAACAGTGAGTGTGAGAGGCTGATAAGAGAAAGAGGGGAAGGGGGCAGGAACAGAGGCTTGAAGATGAGGCAGATTTGAGATTTATCAGCTGATGAAATAACCTGCTCACCCAAAAAACTACTCAAAATATCTATTATAATGAAAAGGTGATGCCACCATGAGCCCAAAGTCTATTCTATTATATGGTATTGTGATGCGCAAGGACTCCAATGTGTAAAACATAGGGTAAATAAAGGTTAAGTGTGCAGCTCTGGAGTTTCATAAAGGTGGTATGTTATTATTTCTCCCCTTACAGTCCAGAATACCTTCTCATAAATAAGCTTGAACCATTGTATTCTCTATTTTAAAAGGTCAACAGAATAACCGTTTATAAAACGAAAAAGTGGGGGGGCCTTTGTTGGAGACTTGCAGGAATTTGAGGTCTTACCTTAACTGTGGACGGCGGCCGGGAAAGCTGGTTTACTCTGGAGAGAAAAAAAAAAAACAGAATAATGAGGGAAAAAATAGTGTAGATATAGTATTTATGCAATGCTTTTCATAATTGTACACTACACATCAGCAGGATCTCTTATTGGAGGGGTTTTCAAACTGGGTTGCAGATATTAATTAAATTAAAGATATTAATTTAATGTGTTTAAGACAATATTTTTAACACATTTACCAAATTTGATCTTATTTTGCCTGCTTTAAACTGGTTGGGAATCAAGAGATTAATCACAATTATTTTTGTAGCCCTGGTTTTAAACGGAACGAAATAAACTTTTCAGCTCACATAACATTACTCTTAATAGTGGGTAAAATAAACTTAACTTAATACAAAGTAAATCTCTGACAGGCTAACCCTCAAGGCCACGGTTCACGCTGCATCCAACCGGAGATATTTAATTGATTTCTAGTTCAACTGTAGTCAGTTTAGGCTGTTAACCTAATAAAGAGCGGTAGTTTTGCTAATTAGAAAGTGGCGGGTGCTGTAGAGGAGTAGGACAGCTAACTTGGGACAGCCTGTCTGCAGAACAAAAATACATGACCACATTTAACAGTTACAATCTGCCCTCTCAGTCCGAATATTTAGGGGACTAGTTATTTTTAGTGTACTGCTCCCACACACATTGTCCTCCACCTAAAAACTGGCAACCAGGGAAGCCTATTTCCTGATGTTGTTAGATGTTTTCTTTCTCTGTCTTTTGATGCTTTGCCGTTCTTTTGGGGCATACAAAGTCATGGTAATTATACAAACAGGCTCATAACAGTGAGTGTGAGAGGCTGATAAGAGAAAGAGGGGAAGGGGGCAGGAACAGAGGCTTGAAGATGAGGCAGATTTGAGATTTATCAGCTGATGAAATAACCTGCTCACCCAAAAAACTACTCAAAATATCTATTATAATGAAAAGGTGATGCCACCATGAGCCCAAAGTCTATTCTATTATATGGTATTGTGATGCGCAAGGACTCCAATGTGTAAAACATAGGGTAAATAAAGGTTAAGTGTGCAGCTCTGGAGTTTCATAAAGGTGGTATGTTATTATTTCTCCCCTTACAGTCCAGAATACCTTCTCATAAATAAGCTTGAACCATTGTATTCTCTATTTTAAAAGGTCAACAGAATAACCGTTTATAAAACGAAAAAGTGGGGGGGCCTTTGTTGGAGACTTGCAGGAATTTGAGGTCTTACCTTAACTGTGGACGGCGGCCGGGAAAGCTGGTTTACTCTGGAGAGAAAAAAAAAAAGAAGAAAAAAAAACAGAATAATGAGGGAAAAAATAGTGTAGATATAGTATTTATGCAATGCTTTTCATAATTGTACACTACACATCAGCAGGATCTCTTATTGGAGGGGTTTTCAAACTGGGTTGCAGATATTAATTAAATTAAAGATATTAATTTAATGTGTTTAAGACAATATTTTTAACACATTTACCAAATTTGATCTTATTTTGCCTGCTTTAAACTGGTTGGGAATCAAGAGATTAATCACAATTATTTTTGTAGCCCTGGTTTTAAACGGTACGAAATAAACTTTTCAGCTCACATAACATTACTCTTAATAGTGGGTAAAATAAACTTAACTTAATACAAAGTAAATATTCTCCAGATAATATAATAATAATAATAAATTATATTACCCAGTTTTTCTTCTTTTTGGGTCCAAAAGTTTGATAACTTTAATTTACAAAGCAAATTCACAGCAGCATTATTGAAATACAACCATTTAGATGCAAAGCTCTGAGTAAAATGAGGTACAGCAGTGGTTTGATTCAGTGTGACCACAGGTGGTCAGGGTAGTGACAGAAGTTGGTGATGATCTAGATTCTTAATGCGAGAAATACTAATTCTGTGTAGAAGTACTTCAGTTCTCCTCCTCATCTTCACTTCTTTCCTTTTTTTTCCCTATGATAAGATGCTCTCTTGCCTTCTTGTAATTTCAGTCACTCTATTGGAAATCTCAATGGTGACACTTCACAGGCTAGTGCTTTAACACACAGTTCACAGGATGCTTATATCTACAGTACATCCCAATGGACACCATGCCAACTGATGCCAGGCAGCAAAGGATATGAGACAAATGTGTGCGTGTGTGTAGTTTGCGTGACTGCCTGGGTGCCCAGTGTTTTCCCCTGCGCTATAAACAGCTCCCTCATGGCCCAAAACAGCTTAAAGCCTAGAAATAAAGTACTCTTCAAGCTCAATATATACTCCTCCGCTCCAGTGAACGCCTTTCATTTTGCATGTTGTGTCCATAAATAGAGGGAAACTAAAAAGAATGTTATATTAATGTAACAAGATATTTGCGAATAAAGAACTACTGGGCCTGAAACAGCACGGATAAAATTATATTTTTAGACTGCATGACTCGTGATGATGCAATGCTTATGAAAAATTGTGAGAAGGGTGTTATGTAAGAGTATTTGTTGAAAATGTATAATTGCACAGGCTCATAACAGCTGGATATAAGCTTTTAGTGTATGCTGCATTCACAAATATAACTGCTTTAATCTGTAGCTGCTGCTTTTGGCATGCATGATATAGCAGGTCATTACATAGCATATATAGCTGAAATTGAGTGGTGGCATAAAACCAGTGGTGTGGTTAAACTTCTGTATAAACTGCAACCAACAGTGGTAGTAAACTAAATTTTTTTTAAAACTGAAAGGTGGATTTGTTATCATAATTATTCTTTATTTCCCTGAAAAAAATGCACTGTGGTTCTTTAAAAACATTGCTCTGTTCTGTATCTGACCAGCTTGGCATAGCAACAATGGCTCCACCAATTGTGTGAGGGCTATCTCTTTATCTGACCAATAGTAGAAGTGGGAAGTGTTCAGGAAAACCTACTTGAAAATAGTCAGTTACATATTATTCTGTTTGACACAACAACTTTAAACCTAGACACTGTATTTTTGGTCAAGATTTATTCATGTTAGGATTGATTTATTTAAGACTTGTATCTGTGGTGCACTATTTGTATTCCACTACTTATGATTTATAGCAGGAAAAAGAACCATTTAATAATCCTGCTGAGTAGCTCCATGTGAAAAATGACTATGATGATTAAACTGCCTGTTGTAATAGATGGCGGGACGAGAAGAAAAGTCAACCTCCTGGGCTGTCTCGAAGACCTATCGTGGGAAGATCTTCCGCAGTAATTCAACATACCACCCTGCCTAAAAATGTCCCCAAGCAGACAGGAAGGAAGTCATTTTTGAGTGGCAACACACACAGGAAATCCACTTGATAAAAGACGGCCGCAAAACAGAAAGTGAGTCGCAAAGTTTGGGTATCATGTTTGTCTTTGCCTTTTAAGGCAATGGGACTTTTCCATAACCAAACCGGCATATGTTTTAGATGAAAGTCTGTTTTAAAATGTCTGTTTAAATATACATATATAGGACAAAGTATCTTGCGATGGCTTATGTATGCCATGTTAAAATGAAATGACTTGTCTGAGTAGCTTGAATAGCAAGACACAACATTGGGGTTCATTTGAAGTTTATTTTGTCTCATGTCGTCATGACTGTTACTAAATGCTACTTTCATAAATTTTAGATTAGTTAGCTTGTCTCTGCCTAATGCTAGTCTGAAATTACATTTATTTTGAAATCTCTCCTATACTGATTAATAATTTGAATATGGAAAGCTCTTGATCTACTAAAGCTCATCTGTAACCCACGTAAAGTGCCATTTTCCAATAGGCAGATCACTTCTGCAGAGTGTCTTTGTTTGAGAATACATCTCGATCTCTGTCTGTCTATCAATCTCGCTCATCCTCGCGGATTAACTGTCCACCTGAGACTATTCACCAGGCACACAAAGATGGCCAAGGCTACCAAAATCACCATGGCAACCGGTATTCTCCTAATTGTCTTTGTCAGTGGAGGAAATGGGAAATGATAACCCCGTTTAGGAATGTAAAGCAAGGAACCCTTGAAACGGAAGCACCTCGATGCCTTTAGATAGTTTTCAGAATAATGACTTAAAAGATTGGACTGAATTAGCGCTATGAAGGTTATGAGTAAAGGCCTAGGCACTCACTGTTTCTCCGCTTTGTCACGATCGTCGAGGAAGAAAAGGGCGGTGGCCAGGAAGAATATCCCCCCCAAAACGATGACAAAGGGGCAGAGCATGAGGGCATAGCCCAAGCTCAGGAACTGCCATAACGCTGATGTAGTGTAGCTCTCCTGCAGCGCGTCTGATATCTGCAGGAACACATAGAAACACAAACAAAAGAGCACTCATTAGCAAACAAAGGAAAATTCTGCTGCGAGTCATCAGTGACATTAATGTAATAATTAACTTCCTAATATTGTCTTCAATAGCTGCGCTGTTTTAATCAGTTACTGGGTGAATGGTTAATTGTGCTAACTTGTCTTAAGCTACTGGTATCTGTTGAACAGCAAGTCAATATATCTATAAAAAGACAATAAACATTAATTAAACTATTGATTCAATCAAGGAGGCAGTTAGTTCAGTTTCAATTTTACAAACTGATTTAATTTTATGCTGTGTGCTCCCTTAGGATTCACACAGTCAGTAGTTAGCAACTGGTTATTAATGCTAAAGACCACATGAGGTATTTCCTATGTGATATCAGCAGGGGATATTGTCATTCTAAAGAGCATTTGATTGTACAAAAATAAAGTGTAGTGCGGGCTGAGTCAGCAGTATTTTTGTTCCATTTTCCTGGAAGATCATTTTTAAATGCCTACATCTGCTAAAAATACATTGTCAACTTCTAGAAGTACACTAAAGGCCACAAAACTCAAATCCTGATTTCATTCATCACTATTCATAACAGACCTGCGAACAGAAAACAAGAGGGTGTTTCCAGTGCTAATATGCAAAAATGCTTTGTTCTGGCTATTCTAAAGTAGCATATTATTAGAAAATAAAGCAAAAGTTGTATATTTTGACAAAGGCACTAAGAGCAGCATTAAAAAGACATTTAGAAGCGCTAATAATCTCCTCAGTGTCCATCTAACTGACTTTAACTTGGCTAATCCTTTATCAGCACTAGCGTGTCTCAAGTCTCATGGGTCAGCTGACTCTAAAAGGTGTGTGAGTAGGTGCTGACAGTGAGGTCTGTGTGTCGTTGTACATACTTAACCATATTTTGTGGACAAATAGTTACCCAGAAGTGAGATAAATCTGACAAAACCTCCTTATGGGGATGTCCTTGTTTGTAAAACTTATAAGGAAATAGAGGGTTATTTTAATTGTAATAATGCAGAAAGTTTTGTGTAAGGGTTAGGTTATAGTATCTGCAACTAGCTGTATATATAAAAAAAAAAAGTCTACAGAATGCCCCTATTTAGACAGCTAAGCAAACGTGTGTGTTTGTGTGTGCGCGCAGACCACACTCTTGTATGTGTGTGTACAAGTCGGCTTTCATGATGCCAAACATGAACTATTTCTTCTGATAAAAATAGGGCTGAGGTTGAACATTTCTGGTGCGTGTCTAATTAGGTTTTTTGCAAAAAAAAAAAAAAAGATGGTAGATTTCGGTTGATAGCCTATTTTTATAGATACTTACACCACCCACTATGCCTGAGGGTATAGATTCACACAGGTACTCTGAATGTTTTTACATCAGTTAGAGTGAAATGGAGCATTACTATATATAAAAAAAAAAAGTCTACAGAATGCCCCTATTTAGACAGCTAAGCAAACGTGTGTGTTTGTGTGTGCGCGCAGACCACACTCTTGTATGTGTGTGTACAAGTCGGCTTTCATGATGCCAAAAATGAACTATTTCTTCTGATAAAAATAGGGCTGAGGTTGAACATTTCTGGTGCGTGTCTAATTAGGTTTTTTGCAAAAACAAAAAAAAAAGATGGTAGATTTCGGTTGATAGCCTATTTTTATAGATACTTACACCACCCACTATGCCTGAGGGTATAGATTCACACAGGTACTCTGAATGTTTTTACATCAGTTAGAGTGAAATGGAGCATTACCAGGTATTTAGGAAATGTTATTCATTCACAGGTCTAGTGAGCACATTGTTCAGTTTTTAGAAAAACGTGTTGTCTGCCTGCCACATGTTCTTAAATTTCTTTCCAGTTGTCTTCAGTAAGCTATTGGATGTCACTGCTCTCATAACAGCTTAATGTCTGGAAAAACTATAGTGTCTCTGCCCTGTGTCAAAGTTCCTGTGATTTTTCTCTAAAATCTCTTCTTCTTTTTGTTATTCAGAGCTGGCAGATTTTTTGCGACAGAAGTACGTCACAGCCACCATCACACTAGCCTGCCAGACCTCCGGAGTGAAATTATCAAGTAACTGTTTATGCGTGACTTGGTCCCACGTTCCTGGATTTGACAGGCCAGAATGTCCACACACTTCCTGTGAAGACATAACCGAGCTACTATCTTAGAGGTAAAATAGAAGATCATTGTATTCCCAGAAAGCGACTCAAGTCATGTGAACTGACCACAAATGAAACATCACAAAACATGTGGCAGAATTATAACCACACTGCCCAGCTGTCTGTCAGTGGGTAGGGCGTTTTGAGCGGATGGAAGTTGCTAACACTGCGACTTGAGTGAACTTGACCTCTGATCTTTGGGAAAAGAGTAGTCAAACAGTTTAGTAAAGTGCTGGCAATACAAAATCATGGGATTGATTCCCAGAGCAGAAACTTTTATGCAATACAAAGTGAACTTGATCAAATGCATAAACTTCAAAAGTTTAAACATTTGGGCTTTAAAAGGAAATAATACTTTTAAGCATTAGGCATATTAAATTAATCAAAAGTGACATTCATAATTTTATGTAAGATTTATATTTCAAATAAATTCTGTTAATTTGAACTTTCTATTCATCAAGGATCCTCAAGGAAAAGCCATTAAGGGAAAAAAATTATTAGTTTGCAGCACAACTATTTTCAGCATTGATAATAACAGTGAATGTTTTTAAACACAAAAATCAGCATATTAAAATGCTTGAAATTCAGCTTTGCCACCACAAGCATAAGTTACATTTTAAAACTGCAAATGCACTTTTGTTGCAAGAAGTTGAAGGTGATAAAGGAATAAGGGAACAATGGGTCTGAACCCTGAGTCCTACATGACAGAGGGCTCTGAACCTGTCAGAAGCACGGACAGGAGTTACTGTTTTACTTGGATCAACTCCAGTGACTCCTGTCCGGAATGCTAGGAATGTCTACAGGAGTCGGAAGTCTAGGAAACACAGTGTGCTTTTTCGAAGAATGATGATGAATTTATGCTGCACTGTGATCGGTTTGGCTTTGTTTTCATAACATGAACAAGAGTGGAAATCGGGGTCAGCGTACAAAATCATAGAGCACAATGTCACAAGGCACAAGGCGGCGTAGATTATTGTTACACAGAAGTGATTAAGAGACCGAAGGGAACACTTGTGGATGAATGTAGCCTTGAATGAGCTGGTGACTGGCATATATACAAACACAATCATGTCTCCTGTGGAAAGGTATTACTGGTAAGACAGAAGAAAAAAAAATCAGGAGGAGTGGGAAAACCTTCAGAGGGCTTTTGTGTAAATCTTTTATTGTGAACTAGAAAAGGAGCCATACATCTTTCTTGTGTGGCTTTGAGAGCTCAAAATCGCTGACTTCCTCTTTCTAGCAATATGTTTCCTCTCTAAACTACTTGCGTGTCAATAACCTGATTCTTCTTCATGGTTGTCTATTTAGTGCACGCTGACTTTTGTGGGTATTGAAATTAAAATCTGTTGGCTTGTATGTAAAAATACCTTTTCAGTGTTTTTTTAGACTTCATTTAGGTGGTTCAGACCTTAATTAGACTGACCAGACCCCCAAAACCACCCTATAATGTCTGTACACGCCAAGTACTCAATACTGAGCAGTTCTTCTGCCATATGTGTGAGACATCCTTACCAAGCCAATGAGGTACGGGCTCCCAGCATCCCCTAGTAAATGCGAGGTGAAGCCCTGGAAGGCAACAGCAGTGGCTCTTCTGGTCGGTATGACAACATACTGGAGAGAGAAAAGAGGTGATATGAAAACAGCAGTGAGAATTTCACATTAAATCATAACAAGAAAACAAAAGTACCACAAGTGCTCACTTAAGCAGGTGCTGTCAGAGCACTTTACACTGACCGAAGCTGACTGGAGTTTAAGTATGCAGTAAGACATTGGCTAGCTCAACTTCATGACATCTTTTCTTGCTAAATCTTTCACTCTGCTTTACATGCACTCTCTGTTTACTGCTCTGACTTCACTGGCTTCCTTCAGACAAAAACATTAGAACTGAAAATGTTATTTCGTTTTATTTTCCATGAGTGGCGTTTCCATTAAGTGCAATCAAAGACAGCAATTTTGTCTTGGGCCCCACCCAGGCTATACCAAACCTCGTAGTCATGCATCCCACCATTCAAAATAAGAAACTAGCCTGAGAAGATGACCAGTTTTGTTACAGTTAAAGGCTTTAAAGTTTCCACTCGATGCAGCAGATAAATACAGGCTTTCAATACGAACCATTAAAATGTCCGCCGTAATGGCCCAGTTCAAAAAGAGCAGCGTCTCTCCGATGAAAATGCAGATCTGAGGAGAAAAATAGAAGAAGACAGGCCAATTATATTTCATTTTATCCTTTAAAATGTGAAATGTACATAAATACATACAGATAGCAGGGTTTGCAGTTGGTCAAAGGCTAAATTAAAAAACCCCAATAGATGTTGTGGAATATGAAAACGTGTCATTATACTGTGGTTGCATAATATGCAATTTTTGATTTGAGGGCAATAGAACCGTGTCTTGCTCCAAACCGTAAAAAAGAGACTAGTGGTTAGCATTATACTAGAGTGGAACCTAAAATGTCTGGTGGCTGAAAACGTGTTACATATAACAAGTTATTTCAACAGACTCACGAGAACAGACTAACTGACTTAGGCATTCCCACACAAATTAACTGATATCCCTCAGTGTCTGGTTTGGATTTTCTAGGTGCTTATGACAGATTGAGACACAAGGATTGAATATCTCCACTAATCTTAGTGACTTGACAGAATGTAGATGGTCTCTCCACATCTCTGAGGCCAGAATGCAGCTGACGGCAGCTGCTGGGGTCAAACCAGATGGGATTGTGCAATGAACTGTAGGTTGCAGGGGAATTTGATCGTTCAAGGGGCCGTTCTGACTTTGACAGGGTCTTATGTTGGGCTCAGAGTGATATGTTGAGCAGGGCTGGCAGAGGGATGACCTCAGGGTGTAAAACAGAGGTGACGGTATTAGTTCACGGGTCTAGAAACTTCCATTTATATGTCGGTGTGAAAAAAATATCTGAAGGTGAGGAAATGAAAGCGTGTGTGTTTGGACATGTATGAAACTCTGTCCCAAAGTGGCTTGAGGCTCAGACAGCGTGACGGACGGACAGACAGGCTAAAACTGTAAAGCCCTGCAGAACTCTGGTTAAGGGCTGAAGTGTGCTGACGAGACAGCAGCTGGAACAGTCCCTGACAGAGCTCCAGCGTGCTGTCACATTCTCAGACTGCACATCTGTCACTATCAAATTTTCACACTCCAAATATTTTCCCTCCTTAAAGTTTTGGATTCCTTGTTTTTCGTATGCTCCATTTGGATGTAATTACAGAAGCCTCTGGACAAGTGATTGAAAAGGGCGCTCATGTCTTTAGTTGGGAGCTGGGTATATTTTTACCCAGAACTGACACTGTAATGTTACCTGTTTGACAAGATGGCATGAGGGCCTGTGGTCCAAATGATGTGTCATTCATTTCTATAAATATCTTAAAATTGATAATTTACTGTCAAATTTGCCCTGTTGCTCTAAGTGAGACTGACAGGCGTTTACTTTTTACTTTTCCAATTTATTATAAAACTATCAAATTTTCACACTCCAAATATTTTCCCTCCTTAAAGTTTTGGATTCCTTGTTTTTCGTATGCTCCATTTGGATGTAATTACAGAAGCCTCTGGACAAGTGATTGAAAAGGGCGCTCATGTCTTTAGTTGGGAGCTGGGTATATTTTTACCCAGAACTGACACTGTAATGTTACCTGTTTGACAAGATGGCATGAGGGCCTGTGGTCCAAATGATGTGTCATTAATTTCTATAAATATCTTAAAATTGATAATTTACTGTCAAATTTGCCCTGTTGCTCTAAGTGAGACTGACAGGCGTTTGTGATAAATGACAATATACACCACTGTTCAAAAGTTTTGAGTTGGCACTTTTTAATGTTTTTGGAAGAAGTCTCTTATGCTCACCAAGGCTGCATTTATTTGATAAAAAAATACTGTAAAAACCATAATCTTGTGAAATATTACAATTTTAAGTAATATATTTGAAAGTGTAAATTACTTATTTGATTGCAACACTGAATTTTCACCATTACTGCAGTCCTCAGTGTCACACGATCCTTCAGAAATCACTTACATATTCTGATTTAGTGCTAAAGAAACATTTCTTATTATTATCACTGTTGAAAACAGTTGTACTGGTTAATATTTTTTTACTATTTTTAAGATTCTTTGATGAAAAGTTAAAAACAACTGACTTTATTTCAAATAGAAATCTTTTGTAACATTATAAATGTATTTACCATCCCTTGATCAATTTAGTACATCTTACTAAATATTCAATTTCTTAATATAATTTTTAAATGATTTGTATTATACTATAAATTGTTATTCTTGCGCCCTTTATTGAGCAATATTCAACCCAAGATTGTGTGAGTTCATGTGACCCAAACTAGACAACTGAGCAGCCAGGTCTACCCACAGGTAAGACTGTCTGCCTTATTATAAATATTTTCAAAGTCATCACAATTTTTAACAAAGGCACAAGAGATTGCAAAATCAGGTGATTTTGAGGGTACAGTTCGTAACCAGTCTTTCATATTTAAGATAAGGTGGCAAACGTTGAGCAAGCTTAGCGGTTCTCAAACATAATACCAGATAGATGGCATTATCAGTGCACTGGGTTCTTCTGTCCATAGGAAAGACAAACAGTCTCCAAAATATTTTCTCATCAGGTTTCAGTTCTTATCATAAACACTTACAAGATTCCCAGTCCGGTTTGGCCCTTGCATTTAGTTCTGACCTGATTGTTTTTTTGTTAAAAGAACGAGCGTGACCTGGTAGAAGTTTTTGTTTTCTTACGCAGCATAACTTTTTTCTATTAGTGACTCAGAAATGCCACAGCCCATTGTTTCTCAGCAGTAACTGTGAAAACTGCTCCCTTTTCCTGCTTTACATGCCAATTAAACAAGTACGCAGTGCCTGTCGCTCTTATTCTTTTAGTATTGGGTTTGGATCTAACAACTCTTACAAGCAACTGTTAAACCCACTGAATGCAACAGACTTTATATCGTTTAAAGCCTTATATTGAACTCTGAATAGAAGTGACCTTATTTGACTTTGACTGAGAGGACTCATTATAATACAAGTATGGTCAGAAGGGAGTTGTACTAGAGATATTCAGGCCACAGTGTTAAGCAACCTTTAAGGGGAGATTCTCAGTGTTTATGCAACATTTCATGGCAACTAATATAATGAGAGATGTTTACATGAAGTGTTCTAATATTGTAACAATAACAGATGTGTAATCCATGGAAGACCTTTAGAAGAGATATTTAGTATATGTCCTGTTTCCTGTTTGTGTGTGTGTGTGTTTGTGTGTGTGTGTGTGTGTGTGTGTGTGTATACATTATAAATATTTTCAAAGTCATCACAATTTTTAACAAAGGCACAAGAGATTGCAAAATCAGGTGATTTTGAGGGTACAGTTCGTAACCAGTCTTTCATATTTAAGATAAGGTGGCAAACGTTGAGCAAGCTTAGTGGTTCTCAAACATAATACCAGATAGATGGCATTATCAGTGCACTGGGTTCTTCTGTCCATAGGAAAGACAAACAGTCTCCAAAATATTTTCTCATCAGGTTTCAGTTCTTATCATAAACACTTACAAGATTCCCAGTCCGGTTTGGCCCTTGCATTTAGTTCTGACCTGATTGTTTTTTTGTTAAAAGAACGAGCGTGACCTGGTAGAAGTTTTTGTTTTCTTATGCAGCATAACTTTTTTCTATTAGTGACTCAGAAATGCCACAGCCCATTGTTTCTCAGCAGTAACTGTGAAAACTGCTCCCTTTTCCTGCTTTACATGCCAATTAAACAAGTACGCAGTGCCTGTCGCTCTTATTCTTTTAGTATTGGGTTTGGATCTAACAACTCTTACAAGCAACCGTTAAACCCACTGAATGCAACAGACTTTATATCGTTTAAAGCCTTATATTGAACTCTGAATAGAAGTGACCTTATTTGACTTTGACTGAGAGGACTCATTATAATACAAGTATGGTCAGAAGGGAGTTGTACTAGAGATATTCAGGCCACAGTGTTAAGCAACCTTTAAGGGGAGATTCTCAGTGTTTATGCAACATTTCATGGCAACTAATATAATGAGAGATGTTTACATGAAGTGTTCTAATATTGTAACAATAACAGATGTGTAATCCATGGAAGACCTTTAGAAGAGATATTTAGTATATGTCCTGTTTGTGTGTGTGTGTGTGTGTGTGTGTGTGTATACACTGCCATTCAAAAGTTTGGGATCAGTGAGATTTTTAATGTTTTTTAATAGTCTCCTTATGCCCATCAAGACTATATTTATTTTAAAAACAGAAATACAATAATATTGATATTAATAATAATATCCTGTTATTACTAATATTGGTTTCCTATTCTAATATACTTTAAAATATAATTTATTTCTGTGATGCAGCACTATATTTTCAGCAGCCATTACTTCAGTCTTCAGTGTCACATGATCTTTCAGAAATCATTCTGATATGCTGATTTATTATCAGTGTTGAAACGGATGTGTTGCTTAATATTTTTTTTTTGGAACCTGTGATACTTTTTTCTTTGATGAATAAATAGTTAAAAAGAACAGCATTTATTCAAAATATAAATATTTTTTAACAATATAAGTCTTTACTATCACTTTTTATCCTGTGTGTGTGTGTGTGTGTGTGTGTGTGTGTGTGTGTATACACTGCCATTCAAAAGTTTGGGATCAGTGAGATTTTTAATGTTTTTTAATAGTCTCCTTATGCCCATCAAGACTATATTTATTTTAAAAACAGAAATACAATAATATTGATATTAATAATAATATCCTGTTATTACTAATATTGGTTTCCTATTCTAATATACTTTAAAATATAATTTATTTCTGTGATGCAGCACTATATTTTCAGCAGCCATTACTTCAGTCTTCAGTGTCACATGATCTTTCAGAAATCATTCTGATATGCTGATTTATTATCAGTGTTGAAACGGATGTGTTGCTTAATATTTTTTTTTTGGAACCTGTGATACTTTTTTCTTTGATGAATAAATAGTTAAAAAGAACAGCATTTATTCAAAATATAAATATTTTTTAACAATATAAGTCTTTACTATCACTTTTTATCCATTTAACACATCCTTGTTGAATAAAAGTATTAATTCTTAAAAAAAAAAAAACAGAAAGAAATTACTGACCCCAAACTTTTGAATAGTGGTGCATATTGTAACAAAATGTTTATTTTGAATAAACACTTCTTTTTAACTTTTTATTTATCAAACAATCCTGAAAAAATATCACAGGTCCCAAAAAACATTAAGCAGCACAACTGTTTCCAACATTGATTATAAATCACCATATTAGAATGATTTCTAAAGGTTCATGTGACACAGAAAACTGGAGTAATGATGCTGATAATTCAGCTTTGCTTCACAGGAATAAATTATATTTTAAAGTATATTAAAATATAAGAAAACTGGTATTTTAAATTGCAGTAATATTTCACAAAATTAGTGTTTTCTGTATTTTTGATTAAATAGATACAGCATTGATGAGCATAAGAAACTTATTTAAAAAAACATTAAAAATCTTACTGATCCCAAACTTTATATATATATACACACACACACACACAAAAGTAATTTTTGAAGTAAGTTGAAACTGAACAGTCAAAATAGAGCTACTTACATATGCTCCCACAATGCTCTTCTTGGCCACAACAAAGATGAGGCAGATGAAGATAGCAGAGCCCAGCATGCTGACCGCACACACCAGTGGGTCGGCACGCTCCGTCTTCTGTCTGCAGAGCCGTGTGGTCACGGCACCGATCACCACTCCCAACAGCCCCGTCACACAGGTGATGGCTCCGAATATCAAACTGGAGATGAGAGAGAAATACAGTTGTTGTCAAAAGTGTAATGTTTGCATTTGTACATTACATTTTCAGCTGTATGTGTATGATATGTGTACCTGTCTTTGCTGCTGCATGGTTGATAGGTGCAGCTCACTGCTGTCTTCTGCACCACCTGAGCTCTGACCAGGTACTGCGGGATCCAGATCCCAAACGCCCCCGTGGCAAATGACACGGCCGCCGATGCCAGAGATGAAAATACATAACTGCGGCTAGGGAGCAGAAAGAAAATGAATGAATATGCATAATTCCTGAGTTTTTCTGCATCTGCATTTTAGCATGTTTTTCTGTAACTTTTGCTCTTTATGTCTTCATTAATTTGTCAGTTTGGCCACAACAAAGATCCAGTGGTGATCTAAGATCCAACGGTCCAGTGGTGTGAAATCATCTTTTTAAACAATCAATTAAAATTAGACAATGTTTCTGTATTATACTTTGTCACACCACAGGATACTGTAAAAACTGATTGAAATTTTACAATTCCAACTACTCCAATACACTGTCAACAAATTCCAGTGAAGGTAGGACCATAAAAACTATAGGCTTTGAGGGATCCAGTATTCTGAGTCGATGGCTGATTGTTAAGTGATTACATCTTGTACGCCCCAATACTGAATATTTGGTTCATTACATTCTTGAGTGATGAATAGGAAAAAAGAATAAACAAGTGGCATACTTTTTGGCAAGAGTTTTCATGTCACAGAGCCAGGAAGTGCGTGTCTTTATACATTCAGCGATATGGTCAGCACTCCCTCTCTTTGGCTCAGGGACAAAGATGAGAATGAGGATCCCAGCAGTCAACCCAAACATCGGAGAAACCTTGAGACAGAATGGAAAAAAGAGTTTAAAAAACAGGACTTAACAAAAAATGCAAATAATTTTCTTATATATTTGTCTTGTTTTCCAGTAAAACATATCCTTGAAACAAGATTAATGTACTTGAAACAAAACTACTTGAGATTTGATGATGTTTTCAGTGAATATATCATGAATTAAGTTTATATTTTCTACTCCATTGGTAATTTAAGAATAAATAAAAAACAAGTATTCTTATATCATTTATACCTTACAAATTTTTTTGATGTTTTTACTGCAAAAATACTGCTTAAGAATGCTTTCAGTGCAGTACTCTCTGCTATAACTAGACTAAACATTTTTGCTTGTATTACGGTGAGCCTGTGCCGTCTGTTAAACAAAATCTTGTGCGCTGAACAATAAGAATCTGTCTCACATCCTGTTTGGTCTAGCAAGTTATTTGCTGAGTCCATAATGGTGGTGCTATTTTGTGATTAGCTTATGGTTTAGTATGTTACAGCTTAGTTTTATTTATATTCACATCAGGGTGTGTAGTGTAGGCAGTGTACTAGACTGCTGTGTGAAGTGGACTCCATTAGGTGATGTTTCTTTACTCCGTCCTCTCGTTTTCTTTCTCAGTTTTCTCCCTTGTGTGGGAGCAGCTGCAGTCCACCAGGCCATGAGCTATTATCTCTTTTATCATCCTTCCTGATGGCTACAGCACAGCAGTGTGTGTATGTGTGTGCACGCATGTGTTTGTTGGTTCGCTCGCCCACATGGAAGCAGTGTAAGCGCCTGTCGCTTGTGAAAGCCAAAGCAATTGTGTCTGTCAGGCGCAATCCTCCTGGAGATCATTTATAGCACATTAATGCAAAGCTCTGCACAAAATTGTCTCTCTTATGGGAGTGTTTGTGTGCATGTAAAGATCTATTCATCTGCGCTGCAAAACAATTCCACAATTACAGTATTTTTGTCTTATTTTCTAGTTTAAAAAAGCTATTATTTTATAAAAATGACTTATCTTAATATACACTACCATTTAAAAAGTTTGTAGTCGGTAAAATTTATGTTTCAAATAAATGCTTTTGTTTTGAACTTTGTTTATTAAATAATTCTGAAAAAAAGTACCAGTTTCCACAAAAAATATTTAGCATCTCAACCGTTTTCAATATTGATAAGTAGGCTAATGTTTCTTGAGCTTTAAATCAGCATATTTGAATAATTTCTGAAGGATCATGTCAAAGGTGCAAATTACATTTTTAGTATCTAAAAATAGAAAACCTCAAAAGTATATATGCATATTTATGTATATTTTTTTCTTACACCACTGGCATTTTTTTAAGCGTAATTATAAAAGAAATGTGGTTAGTCGTATGCTTAAAACAAGAATAAAAATTCAATTAGGTAATAAAAATAAACTTCAAATTCAAAATAAAGTCTCCAAATACTAGTCTAAAGCTATGTCCACAAGAAGCCAGAGCTTTCCCTATTCTATCTTTTTTTTCACCTCATCTCAAGGAATATCTGAGTCCACATGAAACCACGAAACCGTCACAAAGCGATGTAGTATACATGCCAGACCAGCATGTGGCGCTGTAATTCTGCCACAGAGATTCACTCAAAAAGGGAGAAGAAGACTAGGACTATGTGCATAAACCTTGCATGCAGTATACAAATTAACATGGACCAATACATTTATTAATCTGTGTTAATGTTAGTTAATAAAAAGACAATCGTTCAGTGTTTGTTCATGTTTTTGTTGCTGTTACGTGACGTAGCGGTGTCTGACTAGGGGCGAGACGTGGGCTGATGACAACATCGTTTCAAAAAAATACGGATTCGCTATCCACACGAAAACGCAAGGGCGGCGGTTTCAGATTTATCCACTCTGGGACCTGGTTAAAAAAAAATATCGGTTTCACTCTCCCAAAACGCCGGATTTGTGTGGACGAAACGCCTATACGATACAAAATTTATGCATATACAGCTATTCGCGTCTCCGTGTGGACGAGGCCTAAGAATATATTACAGAATTATTATTAGAATTATCTATACACATTTGCTTGAATTAAAAGTAATTTATTTTATGTTTATTTATTGTGTGTTATTTTATAAGGATATTAAATTATTCTACTGGAAGATAAGAAAAAATATAAACAAATTATTAATATTTTTGCAGTATAAATCATTATAGTGAACAACAAGAGAAAAAAACGATCACTGCGTCCCATTGACGTGCTGCTGTTTTCTGATTCTGTGGACTGAATGTGTCTCTGTGTGCACTGCAGTGCTTTTGATACACAGCTGCAGTGTCTCGCTAAAGCCTGGATTTGGTCTTGTTATCCTTCCATAACTAGAAAACCCAGCAGATGTAAAAGAGGTCTTTGCAGTGGACCTATTTTCTGTCAGTCACACTGAGGGGATTCCTCACAGTCTCCTCAGTCTAGTTTCATATCAAAGCCTGCGTTGATCAGTCATCTTGAACTCTGACTTTGACCCGCAGTCTACCATAGTATTATCAGTTTCTGCCCTTTCCTGCTAATCTCAAGCTCTGTAGCTTCTTTCGTGCTTGTTAAGGTTAGAGCTGGCACAGAAAATAGTGAGTGCAATCAAAGAACGAGAGATCAAGGTGCTATTTCTCCTGGCATTTCTGGTCTCTGACCTGAAGAAGATTGATATGGCTCTCAATAATTATGATCTAATCCTCCACTCCAAAAAAACACGCTCCCTATTCGAGAACGGAAGGCGATTGAGTTCTTCAGGGCCCTGCAAAACAAGCGGAAAGTGGCACGAAAAATGTTTTTTTCCCCTCTCAGAACAGGATATGACTGATACGGAGTACCTTTTCATCTGTCTGTTGTTTATGTACTCATTTAAAGTGGCACTGATGATTAATAGTCCACCGAACCACAAGCTTTGTCTTCTCAAGGAATGTTTTACTGGATCCAAGAGTTCAAACAATGGTGCTCCGCTACTGTTTGCAAAAGTGTTCCGACAAACTAGCTCCAAATAAAGCTATTCATGTTCCTGAGGGTCACATAACTGTCATGCAGAGAGGAGTTTTTGTAAGCTTGAGAGGGTTTAACAAGTCTCTTTTTAGGCCTAAGAGCTTGACAGCCAAACCTCGTTGGAGTTTTAAGAGGCAGCCACACATCAAGCATAATTCAAGTTCACGATAAGACACTCTTTTTGACCTTTTTGGATTCTTTATGACCCAGCGAAAGGAACGCCCAACTGTTAAAGTTTAAAATGAACAAGTGAAGCGACTGGTTTTAAAACAGCACTGAGCTAATGAAGGATAAAAAATCTAAAGCACCTCAGAGGCCTCTTACTTTCTCCAAAAAAGTTGTTTTTGCTCTCTCTCTTTCACTGCCCAAAAAGTTATAGGCCACAGCCCTTCCTCTCACGCACTCATTTCATAAATTAGTAATTTTAGCTGCATGAAAAGGTGCTCGGCTTGACTTTTTAGGTTAGCGCTGTGGTACATCAAGGCTACTGAGGAATATCCCACAACAAAATGGTCTGTGATCTCCTGGGTCTCTGCAGCACAAAGACCGCAGTGAGAACTGCGAAGACCTTGTTCTTCACGGATAGCGTGTATGAGCAAGACCCGAGAGAGCTGGAAGTAATGCTAAATTAATGCGCTTAAGCTAGTTGGGTTGTCAGTGCCAATTGCACAGGCTTCAAAGGGGGCAGGAATGCTATGTTGCTTTTTCAAGAGATGGGCCGAAGGTATTTTGGGATTCACCTGTCTGCCATGGGTTTTAGGGATATTTTTTGACCTGTACGAGAGGAAATGGTGTGTATTTGTGGAGGCTGTACATGCTTCCTCTAAAATATTGATACAGCACACTGAGATATTTCAACAACTCTTACCCTCAGAGCCCAGTACCAGTGCCCTCCAGCGTCTTTAGCAATGGATCCCAGGATGTAGCCCAGACCGCTGCGGACAGAGAGCAAAACATGTCATTATACGTAAGCAAACATATCATATTCCATGCATAAACATCCACTCTCCAGTTGGTTTGCTGGGCATAGCTGGTATAAGCCAGGGCTATTTTAGTTTAGAATTTTAATGTAGTTTTTGTTTGTTTTCAATTTATATTTACATTTTAGTAGTTTACGCCTGCCAATGAATGTGATAACCGGTGAAATTAACATGTAGAAATGTACATTTATCAGCATAACTACATTTATTTTATTTTAGTTAGCACTGAATTCATAAAAATATATTCTTATTTAGTTTTAGTTGTTTAGTTTTGTGTTAAAATAACACTGGTCTTAGCTGGTCTAGCTTGTCTTTCATCCTGCCCAAGCTGTTTTTGAGCTGGAGTAGCTGATCTAGCAGTCAACTCATTGACTTGGTCTGTCTTGTCTTCCCCACCTAAAGCTGTGTCATACACCCTAAAACTTTCATGATCCGAGTAGGCTGGCTGAACTCAGCATGCATACTAATGCCGCTGATAATGGCTTTACACTGAACATCACCTCTGGCTATGTAAGAGAGTCAACCACTTAGCATTACTCAGGGGCTTACAATGACAGATCAGCTCCGAGGGAAAGAGAAAGGGAGATGACTGGGGAGAGACGCCAGCTTCCCACACAGTGTCGCTTGGGTTTTTGGATTTGGGGACTGTGGTCGAATACGAACATCAAACATTCGGGTGACCTAATTCTGAGAATCCCTGTCTGAGGTTGTAGGATATGGTTTCAGAGTGCATGTGTCTCATGAACTTTCCTTTAAGTCCTTCTAAAGGCAAGACTGCCTGACAGAGTGATATAAGGAAAAGAGGAAGACGGCCACTCAAGGTGGGATCATTTCAACTCTGTCGGTATCTGAAGAATCTGTGAGTCATATCTCTTCAGACGTAGACCAAACTCTCTCAGCTCTTCATCCTGTTTACAGTCTGATGAAGTTCATAATTGCCGTGTTATGATTTCGGTGTGGATGAAGCACATGTGAAATATTCTTTCTGTATGCTATCTGTATGCAGATTATCTGTTTGAGACTATCACTGGATGTTATTTGACTAAGCCGCCATTCATCGGGCATTGAATTAATTGTTTTCTTCTCTTGGTCATAGTCTGTTAAAAAAAAGTTGATTGGGTGTCTTGCTGTTTTTCTTTCCATCAGCTCTCTATTTCAGATTCACAGTATTCTGATTCATTGTTATTCTCATTCTCACTCTCCATTCCATGTTTGTACACCTGTTACCAACCCTCTGACGCTGAAGCAAAAGAAAGTGAAAAGAAAAGTTTTTGCTATTTTAAGGTTTTATAACAGTGTTGTCACTAGTGCACTAGTGAAGGTGTGAGGAAGCCATAGAAACTAGAAGTATTTGCAAGTCTTTGTTTTAATGACAGCAGCATTCAAGCTGTGTGAACTCAAGTTACAACCACGTTAAAATGCCTCACCTGATCAGGTGTAAATATGGTCATAGTGTGAGAAAGACACATACAGTATTGATTAATAACATACACTACTGTTCAAAAGCTTGGGGTCAGATATTAGAATGTTTTCTCAAGGATCATGTGACACTGAAGACTGGAGTAATGGCTGCTGAAAATTCAGCTTTGCGTCACAGGTATAAATTAAATGTTAAAACAATATAAAATAGAAAACAGTTATTTTTATTTGTAATAATATTTTACAATAATACTGTTTTTTGTATTTTAATCATATGTAGCCTTTGTGAACATACTTCGAAAAACATTTTAAAAAATGACTGACCCCACCTTTTAAATGGTATTTTACATTTATTAAGGAATACTATATATGAACAGAGTGGTTCGGAACAGTAGTCTCTTGTATTTGGAGGTTGTTCATTTTTTTTATTGCACATCAGGCCATGGAATAACAGCAGCGTTTAAATTTTTCTGTTTAAATTTGGAGCGCCCCTCCCAGCATTTAACCTCGTTCCCACTTCCTGTGTTCCCAGACACTCGCGCCAGGCTGTCGCTCAGCAGGTAAACCACATTGTTTATCTTTGACTGCCCCTGGCATATCCCACTGATGGACCAGTCTGACCTGGCCCATCAAACAATAGGACCTTATCAGTTAATACATATGGCTCTCAACATGAGTGTCCACTGGACCTCATTCAATGTCAAGAACCCATTAATTAAACTTATTTAATTAACCATCTAAACTTAATTGTTTATTCATCAAAATGGCCACTTGGGACCTTACTGATGTTCTTGATTGGATAAGAGGTTTTAAATATTAATTTCAGGCTTGCGCGATGTGGTGCTACCATTTTTATATGTCTGTACATTTTTGTACACAAGCTGTCAGTATTACTCTGCATCTCCATGTTTATTAGTAACTAAAATATTTTCCATGCCCATAAGAGGACTCAAATTTCCTGCTAAACATTTATCTCATGGCTGAAGTCACTTCCTGGAAACAGTAACAACCTGACTGCAGATAAACAGTGCGCTAGACAGGAAGTTGGACAGGAGGCGGCACACTGTAGCACTCTAGTCTTTCACCTCTTATTGTTCGTACTGTCGATCGTTTGTTAGGGCCGAACCCAGTTAGCTTGCAAATACCTCAACTCTCCTATTTTTCCATCTCGTCCTTTCCTCTAACTGCGTTCAGTCTCTCATCGATACTATTACTAGCCCTCAGAACAGGTCTTTTGGTGACAGCTGCTGTGTTCAGATATTTATTTTCCTCAGTTTAGTGGGTGTTATTCGAATGCATGTATAAAACTCTAGTTTGTGCACTAGCATTTCGTGTTGTTGTTTGTCTTCCACATCAGATTAACAATTAAACTGCAAGATGTTGTATGTGAACGTAATGCAGCTAAAAATGCTGCACACCTACAGTCATGAATTTTTTATCACCTTTCCTCTGTTTATTTCCCCCCTTTTCTCTCTAGTCTTTTTCCAGCTCAGTGAGCAAAAGAAAATGCCCGTGCTAAGTGACTGTAATAGGTCAGCTTAAAGTCTTTCACAGCAGCAGCAGATTTAGAATATCATTGTCTATTTGGCTCATCTGAGGCGGTGACCAGTGACCACAAAAAACGCTGAGCTCAATTCTCCACAACTGACCTTTACTGAGTTGAGATGGTATCTGAGATTATCTGGCTGTCAGAAGCTGTTCCCTTCAGCTGCAGTTCACCTAACCTGACACGAAATGTCTTCATTTACATTACAGTTCTCATCCATGGCTGATTAAATACAATAGCGATAAAATGACCAAGTTGAATATCAGATTGTATTATATGACGTACAATGCTAAAGTGCTATTGTAAAATCATCTCTCATAATGAACATCTGCACACCTTCAATTAAATTGCTTAAGCAAAATTATATCGCCTGGACTCCCTGTGTATTTAGTTTATTGCAAGCTCTGGTGGGATTAGAGGTAAGCATGGAGACTTGAACACAGGTGGAAAATGGATTTGTTTGGCTATTAGGAATCAATATTTCCTTTAAATGTTTACCCATCTGATATTAATGTTATATTGCAAGGTTTATTTGAAATGAGTGATTTTATTACTTATTTAGCTGCAAATAAATGTCTATCATTGTAAATAGCTGAATACGATAAGAACGGTTTCTCTCATCGCTCAACATCATTGTGGGTTTTTTCACTGCAACTAAATTGGCATTTATTCTAATAGGTTTTTTTAGAGCTCTCACAATTCTCTGTTTATTTATTGTTGCAAAATTGATTGTAAATATGACAAGTGGGTCCTTTTACCTATTTTATACTTGAAAATGAATAGATGTAAGTGTATTGGTTGGCCTTGATAGTAACTTGTAATAGACTGAGAGAAAAAATACAATGGTATTGCTTATCATTAAAGGGGTCATATGATGCGATTTCAAATTTTCCTTTCTCTTTGAAGTGTTACAAGCTCTTGGTGCATAAAGAAGATCTGTAAAGTTGCAAAGACTAAAGTCTCAAATCCAAAGAGATATTCTTTATAAAAGTTAGGAGTCAACCACGCCTACCTAAAATGGCTCATTCTAACACGCCCCCACATGTCTACGTCACAATGTGGGAAGATTTGCATAATGCCGCCCAAATGTTCAGACACAACTAAAAAAAGAGGACACGACTAGAAATCAGTGGTTAAGTTGTATTTACAACACTGTTCCAGAACAGTACAACCCACATATTCAGATGTGTGCAGCACATTTTATGGAGGATTGTTTCCTGATCCTGGTAGAGTAGAATACAATGCCGGCTGATCTGACTCACAGACTGTAAGTACGTTTTTTATGTATAAAGAATTTGCCACTGATGATTCAAACGCGAGTTTTGAGCAGTGTAGAGTAGCGCTTGTTGTTTGTCATTTCTCCAATCACAAATGCAGACATGGTTTTATGTTTACGCGATGCAATGCCTAAAAAGACAGTATAAGTTATTATAATCCGTAATTATGTCCCCACTGGATGCAACAAATGCCTCGTTTGTAATGGGTTTTAATGTTTTTGTCTCGTTGCTCCGGCCGGACAGGGCATCACAATATGGTAGGGGCATAACATTTCCATCACACGCTTGAGGTGTTCGGCCAATCACAACGCACTGGATAGCTGGCCAATCAGAGCACACCTCGCTTTTCAGACCGATGAGCTTTGTAAAAATTGCTGCGTTTCAGAAAGGCGGGGCATAGAGGAGAAACAATAATGTACAGTATGTGGAAAATAATGTGTTTTTTTAACCTTAAACCGCATAAACACATTTCATTACACCAAATACACAACATAATGCCCTTTTTAGCAACATCATATGACCCCTTTAATGTCTATTGATGCTCACCTTCCAAGTGGGATGGCCAAGTAGAAGACAGAGAGCATCACAGTCCTTTTGTTGTTTGTGAACAGGTCTCCAATGATGGTTGGAGAGATGGAAGAGTAGCTTGATTCTCCAATACCCACCAAGCATCTGGACAGCACTAACAACCAATAATACTGCAAAAGAAAAGGTCATATGATTAGAAAAGCAGAAGGATTTTATATTATATATTATTCAATTGGCAATTGCCTCATAGCATATTTTCTCTTCATGATGTTAATGATATTAACATCACACAGAAAATACAGCTTATTAATCCCTGAAACATTTTCATAAATCTGTCTAATGACATTGAGACTGTGTTTAGGTGTGTGGCTTTTTAGATGTTCAACATTTCTTATTAAAACTGAACATGTGTTAGTGGCAAAGGAGCAAGTGTCCTACATTTCTGAAACAGTGGGAACATGTGGCTGTTGTCCTCTGACCTCTATCGGCGAGAAAGGAAGCCAGACTAAGAAACCACCCTTCCCTGAAATGGCCTAGACTTTATATAGTCGTTCATGTGAAGATGTTTAACCGTGGGTGTGTAATGCACATCTATACTGCTGTGGAGAATTTGGGTCACCCTGGCAGTCGCCCAACTGAGGAGAGACTAGTTTTCTCACTCTCCTTCATAATATCTCATTTTTATGATGTCACTGGTGGTCTCAGTCTGGCAGCAGTGGGGAGTCTAGCCACACCCAACACTGATGGACTGAGACAAAGTGTGAGGAGCAAACACGGACACCCTCTAGAGACAGGTCATCCCATTATGATATGATGCACATATACAGCAGACACACACACACATACAGATCTGTCATAGCAGACTTCCATTTGTGATATCTCCTGAGGGGGCTCACAAAGCCACCTGACCAGCCAGATGCTGTTGTGTCAGACTTTTGTGTACTAACAAGCTTCCTGTAAATGCTAGTGTGCTATAGCTATATAGTCTTTTACCAAGGCTGCATTTATTTGTTCACAATCATATTGTGAAATATTATTACAATTTTAACATAGTTAAGTGTAATTTAAAAATAGTGTAATTTATTCCTGAGCTGATTTTTTTAGCAGCCATTTAGCAATCACATGAACCTTCAGAAATCGTTTTAATATGTTGATTTGGTGCTCAAGAAACAATATTGAAAACTGTTGTTTTTCAGAATTCGTTGATGAATAGAAACTTCAAAAGAACAGCATTTATTTATTTTTTGTAACAGTGTATTGCAATTATTAATGGCTTGTGCTTGTATTATTCTTATTTGTAATGCACATTAGATAAACATGTTTGCTAAACGAATGAATTTAAGTTGAATTCATCCCTTGCTCTCAAAACAGAGGCAGCAATCCTCATGACCTCCGGCCATTCGATGGTCACTTTGCATTGCAAGGATTCCCTCACTCCCTTTCCTGCTTTTCATCCTTTATTCTTTTTCACCTGACAGTCTTTGGTGTGACAGCAGCCCCACAACAAACAGCCAAAAGAAAAACAACTTTACTTATTGTTGAATGTTACATAATTCTCAGCAGGGGAATTTCTTTAGTGTACGTGACAGGAATCAGCAATGAGAGACTGCAGCAAGCTGGGTTATCCTCTGGCACTGAGAGGATTTCTCTATCCCTCCCTTTCCCTCCCGCTCACCCTCTCTTTCAGCTCCTTTCCTGCTTTTCGTGACTCTGCTCAAAAATGACAAAAGCTATGTACTAGTTGTTTATTGACAGAAGTGCTGTGAGGGAATAAGAGAATAGAGGGATGGCAAAGAGGAAAAGTGGATGACTGACTGTTTTTTTTACAACCTTTTCTTCTTTCACCCCAAAACACGCACATCATGAAAAATTGATGCTTGGGCTGTCATTTGCTGAACGGTTCGTTGAGGTGAGACACACACACACACACACATTAATGTGTCATCCAGTGTAAGAGGATTTATAGCGAGATGGAGGGGAGGGACTTGAAGATGGTGGTCTGTATATATGTTATACTATACAATATAATTTATATTGATAATTTATACTCATTAACTATTATAAATATAAAAGTTAAAAAATAAAAAACAGCCATTTATTTTGTCAATGTACAATACTTAATCAAAAATAAATGATTTACATATCTGAAAAAATATTATTAATTATTAAAAATGCTTAAATGTAAAAATATTAATGTAAAACATTTTTTATCTTAAATGTTTTGAATTTTGTATCGACAGAACGGATGTAATTGTATTTATTCAGGTATAGTTTCTTTGTAATTATTTGATCAGATTTTTTTCACACTCACACTTTAGTTTTTATTTGAGCTTGTGGTTGAAATCCACAAAGTTGACGCATCTGCCTCATTGTCTTTGTTCCAGACCACAACCAATTCATGAGGCTGCAGTACTGTAGGACTGACTGTACGTCTGGCTTCCCTCATCCCTCAAAACCATATACATAAACATGAGCTTTCAAATACATTCTGCTGCATGAATATGTGCATATCTAACTAAAAACCACCACTGACATCCCCTGATGTTTTGTTTTCTTGTCATCTGACAAAAGCGACAAGATGATGTTAATTAAAATGGTCATGGGAATCAGACATCCATAGGTCTCCCTTCATTTGCCACTTATTTGCCTTACTTATGTTTTTAGGATCATGATTTTAATGTTTAACAAATGTCTTTAAATCTCGTTGCAGCAACACAGTACAGTGAATTGACTGTCTCTTCCCAAAGCCCTGAGAAATCTCATTAACAAAAGCCGAACATCAAGTTACGAGGGATTTTAGATGATGAATAGATCAGCAAGAGGTTGTGAGGTCAGTTTAAGCCATACAGAGATTTAGTAGATATTTTCTTCTCAAAGCAGAGTGCTGGACAGCCTATTATTTTCATCAGACTAAGAACACTCTTACTTCATCCAGATTTCTTATTCCATAAGATGATTTCTTGGCGTAATAGTATTTTTCATCATTTCAGTGTATACTTATGAAACACAGCACTCTCCATATTACTCTATTTTACATTACTCTATAATGGAATGCAGACCTTGCAGCAATGTTGAGGTAACATTAATGTGATGGTTATGATGTTGATGAGGAGTCTGTGTAAATATGAGATGATCTGCAGATTTCTCTTGGTGGAGAACATTATATAACAGCCCACTGCCCTGGGTCGGATGATTGACAGATAAAGGGATATCTGCAGTCTCTGCGCTCATGTATGCATATGTGCATGTGTGTGCGGTCTTGGAGAATCATGTGACTTTGATGCAGAATGGCTTGGCCTGTCAGTATCGACTCGAGATCGAGGGGATTAGCGCATTTATACCCCCCGTTGCGTTTGGCCGGCATACTCTGACCACACACACACACACACATCTTATAGATATAAATGCAGTCTCCACATGCTCACTGACAAAACAAAAAAGGCTAACAGGAAGCAAACTGCACACACATACACACTAGATATCACTAAAATCAGTTATCGTAGCCACAAGGAACATTCCTTCGTTGTCATTTCGCAGTCTTCCTCTCATTAACTTGGCCTTTTAATTAGCTGCCACTCTCTATCTCTGTAGCAATAACCTCCCTGGAGACCGGCCCCACACGCACACATACAATTTGATTGAGATGGTCTGTAAGGGATTCTAGATAATAAGCATCAATTTAATCTTAATGTTTTTTTTGGCCTGCCTTACTCAGTTTGGCTTTACTGTTGTCTCACTTCCTCTCATAGGTTTATTGACCTGTTCACATACATTTTAAAGAAGAAGCTTAGATACTGCCTGTATGTCAAACAGATTTTCTGTCCTTTTTATATGATCTGTACCTATAGTTCTGATGGCTAAAGTAAATATAAGTTCCATTTATACTATGATATTATAAAGACAAAATGTTGTTTAAAATTTAATTTATTGGTATTTATGTTGTCACTTTGCAGTACTAAAGCCAAAATAAATGATTAACATGTCAGGAAAATTAATAATTCAAAATAATAATTAATTTATTCGTAAAATTGCTTTGTAAAGCACTTATTAATGATTAATAGCCAAAGTGTGCATGAGCAAAAAAAAACAAAAAAAACAATATATATATATATATATATATATATATATATATATATATATATATAAGTCTTAAGTAGCACGGGTATGTTTTTAGCAATAGCCAAAAATAAATTCTATGGGTCAAAATTATTGTTATTAAAATTATTATTTTTCTTTTATGCCAAAAATCATTAGGATATTAATTAAAGATCATGTTCCATGAATATATTTTGTAAATTTCATACCGTAAATATATCAAAAATGTATTATTAGTAATATGCATTGCTAAGGACTTCATTCAGACAACTTTAAAGGCGATTTTCTCAATATTATATATATATATATATATTGTGTATCACATTTACGTACAGTGCATTGTTAACTACAGCAGGCAACTAGGCCTTGGTTTTTGTGAATAAGGCACAATCTGTTATTATCTGCCTAATTTGCATAGAAAGTGGTGTGTTTGACTTCTGATTAATTGATATATTCACGATGTAGCTTGGTTCAACAACTTGATTGTTCTCAAGTCTTAACTACCAGTGCCAACAAATGCTGTTTTGATTTGTAATTTTAGCTGCTTTTGTGACTCTTAATGACATGAGTGAGTGAGGCCTGGATAAAACAGAGAATAAGATATAGAGAGCAGACAAAGAGGATCACGAACAGCAGTAGAGCTGTAACGAGAGGTCTTCTGAGACAGGCCTAGTGTTATGCTAAGTGAGCATGTCATTTAATCATTTCATCTTTGTAAAAGGGAAAGGAAAAAAGCAAAGTGCGGAAGAGAGAGCAAAAGCGAGAGACATCTAAATAATAAAGTACACTGAGTTTTTTATTATATGTAAAATGAGTCCTGCGATGCTGAATGACTCTAGTTTCAAAGTGCTCTCAAATGAGCCAGAAACTGAATGAGCTTTAGAGATGCTACTGCTGGGCTGGGTTGCTGTTCTGCTTCTAAAAATAACCAACTAGCACGGCAAGAACCAACCTAATGCTTTCTGAGCAAAAACAAACTACATTTGTATTTTAAGATTCTTCTAATATGATAATCACATTGACATGATTCCTTTAAGAGGTTCTGAGCAAGGTTTAAGCTGCTGCTTGTAGAGGAGAAAGAGAGTATGACACTTACATCTTTGGTAATAAAGGAGCTTAGCAGCGTCACAATGGACCAGAAGAAGATTCCACTGCTCAGAATGATCTTTCTGTTGAATCGGTCCCCCAGGTAACCAAAAATGGGTGCGGCTATCATGAAACTGCAGATGAAAACTGGAAAGAAAAACAGAGACAGACACATTTAACTTTCATTTTCACATTTCTCTCATACTTGGTAGCATTTCCTTGCAGTCAAGATCAAAATGACATTGTCAGTTCTTAAAAAATGGCCCACTTATGCGGATGAAAACTAAAAAGCGATACCATGTCAACTTGTGAATCCACATCCTTATTCTTTAAAATGAGGAGGAAGCTTTAAGATACCCTTTCTGTTTCCCTAATTCACAATCCTCTTATGAATGACTGCACATTAACTAATAGCCAGACAAAACCTACTCACAAGAGTTGTTCTTATCACAAGATTGCTTTAACCAAGCAGTTTTCCATTACTGTACATTTGCTTAATGCTGTCATAATTCACATAATTGATTAGGGTGCTACCTGCATCTTTCCATTTCTATATTTTTTTTATTCTGTTTTATAATAATTTGATCATTCTGATCGTTTTTTTGTCTTTTTCATAGGTAAATTTTTTTTTATTATACTTTATTTTTTTGTTCAATGTCAGTTTTTCAATTTTTTTCCCACTACATCTTTGTTTCTATGTTTAGATATCTGCATGAGGCACTCCAGTAAGGTCCTGAATTTGTGTGGTATGCCCAGATTCTATTCTTTTGTATTATATACAATATATAATATGCACCTGCATGCTTATAGAAAGTTCTTTATTAACAGTTGAAAATTGGCATCGTCAGCAAATAAAGCAAACTTGTATGTAGCTAATGTAAATAATTCCTGTAAAGGTGCCCAGATACCGTAATAATGTTGCAAGTTTCTTAATCCTGCAGTTGCATATGCAACAACTCCAGTTGGGTTTGAAGGAAGTTACATTTGAAGTGTTTTCATAATGAGTTTGCATAGATGGCACAAGGTACTAATGCTTATATGAAAACTTCAGAGCTGTAGATTTTGAGGATTTTTTGCCATCTGCACAAACACTGAAGTGGTTGTGTTTGTGTTATGCAATGTGTTTGCAAGCTTACAGACAAGGAGAAATGCACTGCAAGTGCCATGATCTATAATGCATTTACATCCTCCTTTGTGCTGTGTTGAGTCTGGGCTGAAGTTTCAGCTATCTTCCACCCTTGATCAATGGCCATGTTTGGATATTTAATAACTCCCCATTTTTGCGGAAGGCTGAATTTGCTGAAGCCACCGGAAACATTGCCCTGTGTTATCCTTGGCTGCTAGTTCAAGCCAAAGCCCGACCTGACTTGAGTATATCCACTCCAGAAGCAAGCACGGAGCCTACACCAAGCCTGCTGGGAAATCAGAACTCTCTCCACACGCTTGAATCTCTACAAATTACAGCAGCACATGCTAAATGATCTGCTATTTCATCCCTGAGTTCTCTCGCTTAGTGTTCGTAATTAGGCTGCCTTTGAAAATCGTTCCAAAAATGAAAAAGATTTCAGGACGCTCAATGTTGAGTAAATGCAAAACAAAAGTGAGTTAACTATGTGTGTGTGCTTTAAATGAGTCAAAGCTGGACTTGATTACAAAAACATAGGTATGATTTGATAAAGAGGATGCTGTAGGATGAGATGATAGCAAAACTGGTGCTCTGTTGTGCAACAATGTCTCAAAACAGAAGACACAAGAGGATCAAAACATCACTTTGTTGTTTAATGACAAGCAAAAAGTCTCGTAATGAAACTCTTTGCATGAAATTTCTCTGTCACGAAGTACAACACATCAACACAGTACTTTTATATCAACTACTTGAATTGTTGTTACCACACATTGTGTATAAGAGATAAGGTTTTCAGATGGTTTTTTTTCTATACATACATTACCGTTCAAAAGTTTCGGGGCAGTAATATTTTTAAATGTTGTAAAATTAAAAGAATGTTTTCTATTTGAATTTTTTTTTTCAAATGGAATTTATTTCTGTGATGGCAAAACAGTCATTACTCCAGTCTTCAGTGTCACATGCTCCTTCAGAAATCATTCTATGAGCTGATTTGCTCCTCAAGACATTTTTTAAATTATCATTATGGTTGAAAACCGTTATGCTGTATGATATTTATGTAACTGTAAACTGTTTTTTCAGGGTTTTTTTAACTATTTCATATGTTATTAGAAATGGTTACTACTAAGGAAAGAAAAAAACTAATTGAAATGAATGTCTATAATGTGCATTTAATCAGAGGATACATTTTCATAGATGATATACTGAATGAACAGAAATCCCACATGTAATGATCCATCTAAGCACAGCTCAACTAAAGCAATCAACACCTCTCCTTCTTTCTGAGATGCTGATCTCCCCCATTATTCAGAGCTGTCTGAGCCATGTCCTCTGTTAATTCCTCTGTTAATGACCTCACTTCTTGTCTGTGTTCATCATATATAGAAACACCTGTGTGTTTCTGTGTGACTGTGAGACAGAGACAGTGAACATATGGGCCAGCACCAAACACACAACATGTGTGCAGTGAACGGCTCCTGAAATATTCATGCCTCAGCTTTCCCTGATGAACTCTTTGTTCTGAATTAGCATGCTAGACAGATCAGGATGTTCTTTCTTAATAGGGTGAGTTTCACGTTAAGGACAGATTCCTGACAGAGGGACAAAGACTAGACATTTACATTTAGTCATCTAGCAGATGCCGATTCAGAGCGATTTACAAATGAGAAACAAAGTAGACAAGCTTAAAGAGCAAGTACACACTTTAAGCTTTTTTCCTGCATGTTTTAGTAAAAAAAAAACTATTGCACTGTTGTTCAAACCAAAAGATTAGGCATACATCTTCATGCTGAAATAAACTATATTAAAGGCTCTTTTGTAGCTCTCCAGAATACTTCATTTTGATTGGCCATCCTCACAATTTTGCAGCCAAATTTTGTTCTGTAATGACCAATGAACTGTATACTGTATTTTGACCATTGTTCCAATCAACCGTTTGCCTTCATAGCATTTTTTTTATAAGAATAACTATTATTCATTTTTATTATTTATTTATATTTCTTAATTTCTATGTAATTTCATTACTTTACTAAGTTAATTTAATTACTATTAAATTCTTTGTTAAAATTTCCTCATTTTTATTAAAATATTTGACTGAAGAGGTTTTTTTCTGTAGTTTGCCCTCTGCCAGGAGTTCTGACCTGAAGCATGAACATACTTCCTCATAATGGTATTTCGTAGATGCCTTGAGGCATGTCACACACCTCACCTGTCCGTCCAGGTGACTACTGTGGGAATTTTCGACTTAAAGCAAGTACGCTTCTTTATGTGACCTCCAATGGTGTTTTTCTGAGGGGATTTATTAAGAAAACATGAGCAACTGTGTAATGTGTTTCAAGCGGCTGATTCACTGCCTGTAAATGTCATTCTAGATTCGCTCTCGTTTAGAGCGCAATGTTACTCTGTCATTCACCGCTACTTGCCTTCTATTTAAAATTCATGCTGTCTTGAAACTGTCAGAAAAGCTCCCAGATAAATGAGTGCACACACTCACACTCCTCTGTTATCCTCCTTATTTTTTTTTCTTTGAGGGATAAAAGATGATATAAAGATGAATTACATCCCGTCACAGTTCTGACAGACACTGCACCTTTACCCCTTGCTTACTTGCTTTCTTTAACCCATCTGTCAGAGCGTGGTGACCCTTCATATTTGGTCTTTGTCATGCAGGATCCCACTAGTTCTTCAATTTTATATTCCACTGCTATAGTTAGCCTCACAACGGGTTTGCTGTTTTCCATGCTTTGTTTTTAGCAACAGGAACCAAAGAGACTAACTGCTCTGGCTTAATATATACAGTAGGTTATTTGTATATACCCTATCATACCCACAAATATTGAAAACCATCTTGGAGTCCACGGAAAAGTCCTTTTCTGGAATATTTCTTTGGGTTTTACACAAACTTTGCATTATGTTTGCAGTGGAAGAAATGGTTTCAGTAATTGTGGTACAGTGATTCATTGTAGGGAGTCAATACTTGTCTATGGCAAGCAGACTTACAGTATCATGTGAGACTCACACTGAACTAATAATAGACACACAGGAGATATAAGTGAATGTTGCCTATAGAATGGCATGAAGGCTGGTGAATGAATGCTGCTTCAATGAGAAATAATTTAAGGATCGACTAAATACAGTCATTTAGATCACATTATCTGAAATGACTCTTACTGGTATCCTATATGATTCCATAGGATCAAACCATATTCTACTGTACACCATTGTTTCCTGCAATGCTTTTCTGATTCATTAACTAATGAGCTGGTTCTATTTCATAAATCAAGATCACAAACAAATGACTCATAGGAGACAATTATTTTAAAGAACTTTTCAAAAACAACTTTTTGGAGTTGGATTGGATCAGTTTGACAGATCTTTCACTGAACTGAATCAAACAGAGAAGTTACTAAATCAACATCTCACTCACTTACTGAACTGCAAGTTATAATCATTTTGTGGCTATTTTTTAATCAATGAAGAAGAGTTTGTTTTCTTTAGAGAAATACTTTCAAACAACAAGGACACATTAAACTGATCAAAAGTGACAGTTAAGGCTTTTATATTGTTAAAAAAAATCTATTTCCAATAAATACTATTGTTCATAAAAGAATCCAAATTCAGCTTTATCATCACAGGAATAAATTACATTTTGAACTATATTAAAATAGAAACAGTTATTTTAAATTATAATAATATTTCACAATATTACTGTATTTCTGATCGACCAAATGCAGCCTTGTTGAGCATTAGACACTTTTATCAAAAACATCAAAAATTCTTACTGACTTCAAACTGTGCGTATTACGTTTTAGGAAACTGCTGTACACTGGAAAGAAGCATAAAAAAACCAGTTTTAAAATGAATGTGCTTCATGTGATGCAGTAAGGTGGAATTTCTGTCTGAACTCTCAGTGCATTCTACATCTAGTATCGACCTTATTTAAGTCTAATTGTTTGCAACATACCAAACCTCTGACCTAAACGCAAATTTTCTTTAACTAAACACTGACTAAAGGAACAACCAG